AATGGACTGTTGTCAATCGAGGACAAATACAGTCCATTTAGTGTCCGGCTATCCGGAGTTTTGCCGCGTTGATTCAGCGCCAGAAAAATAGAGACAGATGGCCGATGCTTCGTTTGATGTCTTTATTGTGTTCATTCCAGTTTGTGAATATAACACCAAAGTTACAACCCAATTTTCACCCCTGGGACCGTTGTCTCCAGCCGATCAAAATTCAGACATATGGCAGCTGACTCATATTTATGACAGTTGCAGCATCTAGGGGGCTCACATAATCCCCTTCTGACTAGCACAGTCAATGGGGAAGCCAAGAGGACCCTGTTACTAACTTAACATCTGCTGCGATTCACTTAACAACGGTGGCGAGAAACACAGGGCAGAACTCAACGTGTAAACAGAAATTGGCTGTTCGGTTATGGCCATCAGTTGAGGACTATCTTTAATTGGTACGGGAGAATTTGGTGCCCGTGGAAGAGAAATAATAATAATAATAAAAGTCAGGAATCGATCCGACTCCTTTTCAAGTGTGCCTCTTCTTGAATATGGGGGCCTGTGCTTGCTTGCCTGCAGATTTTATTTTGCAAAAGAAATTAAATTGCAAGACGGATCTTCTTTTGATATCCACTTAGGCGTTGTCTTCCTGGTATTGTAGGCCGTTGACTCCCTTCTGGGCAGGTTTCTTTTTTTTAAAAATAATTCTTTTCTTTTCCTTTACCTTGGCGGATAGGTCCTGCAGTACATTCTGAACCCCGCTTTCCTGTACAGCTTCGAAAAGGGGGAAGGGGAGCAGCTTCTGGGGCCCCCCAATCCCGAAGGAGATAACCCTGAGAGCATCACCAGTGTATTCATAACAAAGGTAGTTTTTATCAGTCTGTCTTTCTGTCCGTCTAATCTATATCCATTCATCTAATTTATCCATCTTTCTCTCTCTCTCTTATCTATATCCATCCATCTAATATATCCATTTCTCTCTCATCTATATCCATCCACCCATCTAATATATCCATTTCTCTCTCATCTATATCCATCCACCCATCTAATATATCCATTTCTCTCTCATCTACATCCAACCATCCATCTATCCATCCATTTATAAGACCTCCAAGAACCTGTTCTGTTCTGTTCTGTTCTGTTCTATTGCATTGCATTGCATTGCATTGCATTGCATTGCATTCTGTTCTATTCTATTCTATTCTATTCTATTCTATTCTATTCTATTCTATT